CTTGATGCACATTAGATAGAAGTAGACCCTTCGTCAGTATGGTGTAGTCTCTGCTCTTAACTTTCCGCTGCCAGTAGCGTTAGCGCTCACGACCTTAATAGTCCCTCTCAGGTTAGGTGTTGACTTGCCATCCACGACAGGATGACCTCTACCGTCAAGCAAACGTGTGCAGCCGCAGAGGGGTTACCAACTCTCCGCTCACCCCTTGAACACGTCCCTTCCGAAGTGAGACGTCAACTATGATGCTCATGTCGCTTCACAATTCAATAGTAATGGTCTCTAAGAACTACGATGCTTCTAATTATAGACCGTGCCTACTGCTCAGAGCAGGCCTGCGGAAAGGGCAACCAGATGCCATGTCATGGTCATGGTGCCTCTTATGCAGCTTTTGTTGTCTACTTGTGAGGTAGTACTATTTTATACTAGGTAGTACTAGTAACAGACTAAATAAACGGGACATGTTCAGGGACCCCCCAGCCTTGATAGTAGTGGCGGAGCCAACCTAACTAGGAAAAGACCGCAAAAGACAAAACGTGAAAGCTCTAGAAGTTCTTTCCGACGTCATTGATGCTCCTGTGGAGGGACTATATGTGTTATCCGAACTCGCACTAGCTTCGTAGAACCCCCCAGCCTTAATAGCATGACTCCCCGCGATGATGATTTTTGCAGTACAAGGTGCTCCAACAGGGCTGCCAATTATTGACAGTCCACGTCGGGTCTGTGGTACATATTAGACCACGTTACGGAGGAATTTTTACACTCTGTCTTCAGCACAAATTAATTCTTGGCTTCTTTTCTACTAGGAAAAGAGCCGAGGATGGTAGTGAGGAATGTAATTCGGAAACCCTTAAACATGTGTTACGCCGTGAAAGATGATACCCGCTCTTGCTGCACGAGACGCCAAGCATGAAAAAGGGAAATCTACCATGTGCATCTAGCTGTTCTAGTGCTGTCCTGGACGTGAAGCACGAAAAAGGACAACTATATCCTGTTGTAGTCAATAGCTTCGTTGTGGTTCTGGTTGATTTCTTGTTAGTTACAGCTAGTTGTCGTTGCAGCCAGTCGTAGCTAGTCTTTTGAAGTACACAACTATTTACCATTTTCGTAACTCAAATTTAAGTCAAGAGGAAGCTAACTGTCATCCACATCCACATCTACCAGAAATGTAATGGAGGGAGTAAGACAAAGAAAAATTCGTCATAAATTGTGGTGGAGCCGACCTAACTAGAAAAAACAAAGATCAGAGGAAGATAGAAAAGAGAAAAGGGCAACTATCAACAAGTATCCTGAGGCATCCTGCTATCTGCTAAAACTAATTAAGCGACGGCGCTATCGTCATCCTGTCAGCCCCATAGGTCTCACCTTCAAAGGCAGGCCGGAGCCCTGTGCAACGCCTCCGGTGAGTGCTCAGCTCTCTGGGGAAAATTCATCATAAAGAAAAAGTTGAAGTTGTACTCTAAATTATTAAGAGAGTCCTCATCACTAGAAGTGTGGGTGTCACCATAGAAATATTGCCATTAGCTTGGGTGCATTGCGCTCCAGTCGCTGCGGCCCCCTCAGGGCATCTGCAGACATGGTCCGTCATACAGCACCGATCCGTGGTCCAAGATGTGAGATTTTAGAGGATAGCAAAGGAACGCCTTTACCCCATGCTTACAGCTACAATCCGGCGATGATGGCGATGATGGCGATGATGGCGATGATGGCGATGATGGCGATGATGGCGATGATGGTGATGATGGTGATGATGGTGATGATGGTGATGATGGTGATGATGGTGGTGGTGGTGGTGGTGATGGTGATGGTGATGGTGATGATGGTGATGACGATGGTGATGACGATGGTGATGACGATGGTGATGACGATGGTGATGGTGATGATGGCGATGATGGTGATGATGGTGATGATGGTGATGACGATGGTGATGACGATGGTGATGACGATGGTGATGACGATGGTGATGACGATGGTAATGACGATGGTGAGGACGATGGTGAGGACGATGGTGATGACGATGGTGATGACGATGGTGATGGGGATGGCGATGACGATGGGGATGACGATGGGGATGGCGATGGGGATGACGAAGGGAATGCTGATGGTGGTGATTGTGATGGTAATGATGATGGCGATGCCGATGGTGATGCTGATGATGGTAATACTAATAATCATGACGCGCCCAGCGCGGGGCACTATTAAACTATAGGTGATGGATCCCCATTGTGCAGATTTTGAAAAAACCCAGCCACATCTTGTCTTCGCTACGTCACTTACTGCAGCCGGCCCTTTTTCTGCTTATCATCATTATTATGTCGTGCGCAACCCTGCTATCTCGGAAACAATTAAAAGTGGGCTTTCTTAATTGGGGTCGCATTCCCGAAGTCTCCAAGAACCACTAGGATCGTATTTCAAATAGTTGCTCATTTGATCTTTTCCACCAGGCAAATCTGGATCGCAGTACTTTTTCGATCTTACTCATATTCATCATTCTTGAAAAGCATCTTGAACGGCAAGAATATAGCAGTAGTGGTAGTAGAAGTAGTTCGCCAAAAAGTTGAAGCAGGGGCTAGGGTGCTTGTCTTGGTTGTTGTGTTGCTTTTATAGCTCAAAATAGGAGCTCAACCTTCGTTCAACGATGCTTGTTCTTGAGATGAGTTTCTACTTGCCAAGTGGCCCTAAACTTTCCTTGCCAAGCGGAATCGTAGCTCGGATAGTGCTTGCCCGCGGGACAAGCGATGGTCATTTGGTCAGCCAAATCTGCACACGTATAAATCCCATCCCCCATCTGCCAAGGATTAAAGATAGTTTTTGTTTTTCACTATAAGTTGGCTCTACTAGAGTGAGCTGGTCGCCCCTTGATTTCCCCTCTGAATTTTTTCTCCATAAAAATTAATCAAGGAAGGGGAACAGACTCCACTAAAGGAAGGGAACAGATAGTGACAAACAACCGTAAAAGGGCTACAGGGAGACTTACCCCAACACCCCCAATCTGCTGGTACGCAATTTGGAAGGTGCCAGAAACACCATAAATTAGAGTCGACTTCTACACTATTTTAGTATTCTTCATCTCGGAGGCGCGGCCCCCTCATCCCGAGGGCTCCTTTCTGTATGCTCCCCCGTGTATCGTTCATCAGCCAATTCCTAATAAAGAGACAGACATGGTTGCCTAATAAAGAGACAGACATGGTTGGAAGCCGATGTAACTTACAGAAGAAACCATAAATAACCTTTTGCTGGTTGCCCTGTTATCGCAGTAGCGAGAGTTACGTTAGAGATTATAGAGCTCAGCAAACAAACCTACAAACTAAGTGCAAATGACGGAAAGTGGAAATGACACACCTAAGTGAAAATGGCGGACCCAAGTGGAAAAAATGACAGACCTAAGTGGAAATGACGGACCTAAGTGGAAATGACGGACCTAAGTGGAAATGACAGACCTAAGTGGAAATGACGGACATCAGTGAAAATGAAAGAGCTAAGTGGAATTGTATCTAGGATGGACCTTCATTGTATCTAGGATGGTTCTATAGTGGTCCTTAACTGTAGCATGGACCTTCATTTATGTCCAGACTATTAATGGGATTTCCTCCGACTTGCGCTCCAACTTCTAACAGACCCGTTATATTGTGGTCATGTTCCTCCACATTGTAGCCACCTTCCGTGCTTTCATGTTGGTACCCCTGAGAGTGGTAACCAACGGGAGCGTCTTCTTCCGTTTTAGTATCTTCTTGTGAGGAGTTGTGGTCTTCGTCTGTCTGATGTTCCTCGGATTCGTGTCTTCTCCATGACTGATGCTCGACGTGTAGTTCCCCGATCATTAGAACTACTATCTTCATGTACTTGAGCGTATGATGTTTAAAGAATACATGACGTATGCAGAACAGGGGAACTGGATCAACGTAAATAATATGCTTCGATATACCTCCCAGCGCGGCAACTTCACGTCTTTCACTCCTTCGCTCCATGTCCATCAATCTCTCAACAGGCAGCAGCATTTTTTTAACTGTAGTTCCTCTACAAGCTACTGTTGCTAAGCTTGCCTCCTCTTCTTAAGTTGTCTTGAAATCCTTCTCCAGTCCCCGCGGACATGATCGCGCCTACGGGTCTTCTCTGCTGGGTCGAATCTTCTATCCCAGTCTGAGCACCTATAATCGCCCGCTGGTGATCTAAAGTCCCACTCTGACCTATCGTCCGCTGGTGACCGGCTCCAGCACCACCATTTTTCTCTTCATGCAAAACGTCGTGGTCTATGATCCCAGGAGCTCCCTGTCCACAAGTAGGAATCGTCCACGTGGACGTTGAGGTGAGCAACAGCAGAGACCGTAACCGCGTCATCCTGCTCTATCCACGTTCTTACTGAGGCTCCTCCAGTAGTACAACAGCGTCACCCTCTACTCATCTTAAGGCTCCTCTAGTAGTACAACAGCGTCACCCTCCACTCATGAATGTGAAGCCGCCTCTAGTACAACAGCGTCATCCTGCTCTTCTCATCGTCAGTCGCAAAGATCCACACGACACACTCGAGCATCGGTTTATCGGAGCCACCGACTCGAGGTGAGCGAGAGCAGCAGCAATAGCATGGATACTACAGCGTCATCCACTACTCATCTTCCAGTGGAATAAAAGCACAGAGGACAACAGCATGGGTACCTACAACTAGAGCATGATCCACTTCTAATTTCTCACTTTTCCAAACCTCGCGCCATCACTAATATCGTCGTCTCCGAGAAGATCTCTCTCAAAGTCATATTTTCTACAGAGAGATTAGGTTAGGTGGGGGCCCGCCAGAAAAACTAGCAAGCTTCATTGGGAAGGGAAGATCCTGCAATGATTGACTTCTTTATTCCCTGATTGCTTAGCTCCCTGCCTGGCTGATGTTTTATTTTTTGGTACCACTGCCTGCTGAAGTACCGAAACCGATCATTCGTGAGCTACAATCAAGGGAACAAGGAAGTGTAAGGTCACGCCAGGTCTCGTCTCAGTCTGTATGACCAACATTTAATGCTCTGTTTCCATTTCGCAAAACTTCTGAAACGAACCCTCAGCACGTAAAGACCCTCCTCGGATTGATGGATATCGATATCTCATTTCTTCGGACAAAATTTTGAATCACAATAGCGAGGTTATTGAGGAGGAATCAGTAGGTTGGAGGCATCTTTACAGGGTTGGAGTTGGGGGAGGCATGATCTTGGGGAAGATTACAGTTTGAATTTCTTTTTTTTCTCGTCCTGACCGTCAAACTTCTACTTCAGTCCTAGTAACTTCCTTTCTTCTAGATTTAGACCTGCTGTCAGCGATATCTTAGACTATTTGTACTTTGCATGGTGGATTAAATTCAAATTGTTCTTGTTTTCTTGATCGCAAACACATAATATTTTTCTGAGTTTCATTTTCAATCCATCAATTCGAGTAGCTTACCAATCCCTAGAGAACCAAAATACTGTGCAGATTCTTTTACAATCCTAGTCTAACAACTCTGAAGAAAAGTACTCACATCATTCTCTTTGCGTAATAAACGATTTGTGACAGACAACTCTTGAAAAAAATCAGATCCGAAAGCGAAACAACAAACCTTCACTCCACCTCACAAAATCAAGAACCAACCTGCATATCCATCGTGTTAAGAAGAGCAGTTCATTAACAATGTTTTTCACGACTCCTATAATTCAACGTGTGTGAGTAAATTCAACGTGCAAAAAATGAATTCAAAATTTAGTCAAGAAGAACCTGTTTGTTAGTCTGCAGTGCATGAAAAAGAAGCTCAATAATACATCAAAGCCGTGTAGTTCATCAAACAAATTAAGTACACATGAACGATGAAGAATCTTGAGTCACGTGATATGCGATTATAAATAGCGATATTATTTAGTTCTTTCCCATTTTAGACGAAGTATCTAAATTAGTGTAGCTTTAGCACAGCATTATCCGTATCGGCCCTATCAATGCGTAGTTTCAACTTGCTGCCTCGTTGAATGCATCCGCGATCGTTGCACGAAGAACTCCATTATTGGTATATTTCTCAGGAGCGAATTATACTCCGTCTTCCAACAGAAAGACTAGTTCAGTTTTGATGAATTGAAGCAGAGGATCGGGTGGAATCTTCAACAATCTAGCACCATTCTAGTAGAATAGAGTGGTACAGCAGCACTTCTCCCGTTAGTACCACTGTCCTACTCGCTTACTTTGTACCCGCCCTATGGTGGAGCAATGATCAATCATCTTAAACGAAGTAGATCTCCAACAAGGTGACCACGGCCCTAGTCTTATCGCACTAGCAAGGTTAGGTTTTGGTGACAGTACATGCGGACGGAGCTTCACAGCGGCTGCACCATACGAGGCAATAGTAAGATTATCGATGAAACTATCGAATGAATTTATGGTTAATATATCACGTCGCGGAGGTTTAGTACAGCCCTCACGTCACAACTTAGTCTCATAGACTGTCTCAGTTCCTAAATAATTCGATGAAATAAGTAAAATAGTAGACAACTTGTCTATTTACACAACTTGTTGTAGCCTTTCTCGAGATCAGGTGATTGAAAATTCTGAAGATTAAATCGAAAGTCCACGACATTCGTAACTACTACTTCTATTTATGCTAAAAATATTCTTGCATCTTTATACGAAAGTAGTCCTCCCTGTTGCACAAGTAGTCCTCCTTCTATCTTTCGTTAGCAGAACGCGCGCAGCCATTGCCTGCTGCCGAAGAATAGACTCGAGAGCACGAACGGAATCGCTGCCATGAGGACGTGGTACATAGTCGTTCCTCCGACTCGACCAAACCCGCCAAGACCGAAGCCTTTCTTCGTTTGCGCAGAGGAGACTTGTGATGAAACCACCAAGTCTCCGGTTTGTGACTGGCCAATCGAAAAACCCGGAACCGGGAAAACGATCAACACGGTCTTGTCGCTCGCTGAGATGCAACCCCCATTAGCCTCGCAAAGCGAGATCGTCCACACATTATCCCGCGGAACTTGTGTCGGCATCGTCACGAGGATTAGAACGAAGTACCTTCTGGTACTAAGTTGTCCCTAATTAATATGGTGTTCCTGGTGCAGGCCCAACTAGAAAAAACAAAAACCGAAAAAAGAAAGGTCAAGCAAGTTCTGACCTCCAATTCTAGTTCTTTCATCTTGCAATAGCTAACCATGGGTCTAGTATGTAGTTGTACCTGTAGTTATACTAGTTCAAAGTGTTCTTTCATCTTCTTGTAATTAATATAGTTCTAATTGTTCTTGCATCTCAAAAAAGCCTCTAGAGCAAGCCTTAAGAGAAACGTGAACTTGTAGATCCCGTTCTCGAGGATACCCGGTGGCGACATCAGTGAGACGCGAATCCTATCCTTCTCCGTGTAGTCGAGCCAGTTGGGGACAGCCAAAAACATACCAGGAGTAACGGACGTGGCAGAATCTATTAGATCGGTAGAGGTGGAGGTACTGTGTGGAAGTAAACAGGTGGAGGTAACGGAGTGACTCCTGTGTGGAGGTAGTGGTCATGATGGGATCGATCCATGTGGTGGGGGGTTCCTATTCACAAGGTCTCCAGACATGTGGAGGGCGAATCCATCTGGAGAACTTGTGAATAAGAACTTACCTAAGAATATCCGATGAACCAACGAGGGAAAGTAGTAGTCCGGTGGAGTTCTCCACCATTCCTGTCGATGGACACTTGTGGCTACATAGAGGACCACTTGCAAATCGAGGACTTCTCCACAATTCTAGTTGTTCACGTTGAAAAAACGAATCAACCTGCGGTACCCAGGACCATGCTTTTCAGCATCTTCTGTAAACAAGATGTATCTTCTTGAAAGAGTGTGCTCCAATGTAGTCCTTGATCTAACTGATACTAATTTGGCCTTGAAGCAAAGAAGATGGATAATGATTAATCACTTAAAAATGGAGAGTAGTGATATTCTCCATTATAAGTAGGACAATAATAATTCATCTTCATCACTCAAAAAAAATAATAGCAGCCTCTTCTTCATAAGTCTAGAGCTTGCCTTGAGACTTCCACATGCGAAAGCGCGTCGATGTTGTGCACAAAACCTTGCGGGAAATTGATCAAAATTTCTCCCATCCGAGTTTTCAGCACGTTTCCTTCGCTCTTAGGACTTTCGCGGACTTCGAAGCTCAGCGTGATCCCACTCAGCTTCCCAGCTTCCGCTCTCGTCCAGTGCAATCCTTGTCCTCGCAAGTCCAGGCCTGGCTGAATCATCAAACCGTTGATATTGAAGGCTGCGTCGCGCGCTTTGTCGTCGTTGTCCTTGCTTAGAGAGTTCAGTGCCTGTATGTGCATCTCTTGGTACCTTGCATCCTATGATCCTAGCATTTGCTATTCTATCCTGTAAAAATGAGGGAGCAAAGGGTACCATCAGGATGCAGGGAGGGATGAAAATCAAGAGCAAGCCACCTGAGCATAACTTGCCGAAGAGCATCAAATGGAAAACGTTATTGGTAGGCGTAGAGCCAGGAATCAGAGCGCGGACGCCGAAACTATACTCGCCAAAGACCAAAGTTTCCTCCAACGTCAGGTTAAATTGCGGTTTTGCAGCGACGTTGGCGGGTCAGGATTAGAAGATAAAGATGTTGTTGTTGTCGTTGTCGTAGTAGGATGGAAGAGAAGTCACTTACATTCACCATACAACTTCTAGATGAGAGCAATACTCAGTAAGTTGTTCTACCTTAAACTAATGGTTATAAATTGTTCCCCTTGATGTACGAGTGTTGACTACTTTTGACTATTAAAGCCGCTATTTCTGCAAAGACCAGTCTAGTAGATCCAACTTCAAAACAACAGGATGATACTTAGAACACCAGTTCTCCATAGTTCTACCAGAAATGGAGAACTGGTGTACTAAGTAACAAGTGCTCCCCTAATTTGCTGTTTGCTTGTACACCAGTCCTCCACCAGCAATCATCAAATGCAAGTACTTACTTAGTACACCAGTCCTCCACCAGCAACCATCAGGCCATTCAAATCAGCCCTTCACAAAACCCATTTTACTTAGTTCACTTGTAGACGAGTATCCTCCACCTCCAGCAACCATCAGGCCATTCAAGTTCAAGTCCGTCCTTCATCATAATTTGTGCACTCGATTTCTCCTGAACTACTGGGCAAAGAAATTTTCCGCAGATTCGCCGGATCACACTTGACTTCGAAGCCTGGAGGATGCTCCACCACAATGATGCCTCCACCTGACAGCGTTTCGACTGTGACGAAATTCAAGATCAATTCACTCTCTTGGTCTTGAATACCGGTGTACCGGATATTCGCTTGCATCTGCCGAATGTCGAAGCCTACTTTGTCTTCGCCCCAGCCAATCACTTCTTGGGTTTGGGACGTACCTACGAGTGGAGATGAAATGCATTTGCATAGGGTAAAAAGACATTTGACTTCTTGGGTTTGGGACGCACCTGTACGAAATTTTTAGGGGGTAAAAGACATAAGACTGTAAGAGAGATAGCTTCTGTACCTTTTGTGGTGGGATTGCGATCGGCAGACAGAATGCATTAATATTGTCGCAAAGATCATAAAACAAGACGTAGAACAAGCAAACAGAAAAACGAAATACCAATTGAATCATGAAAATAATCAAAACAGACCACACTTCTCATCTACTTCTTATCTATATCAGTATTTGTATTTTTGTCTTTGATATTATCGGTGGAGCACACCTAACTAGGAAACAAAAATACAAAAGAATCAAGTAATCCATTTATGTATCTACTATACCTTCCACGTAAAACTCCTTAGTATAAGGTGTCTGTCTCGGAGTATCCATCATCAGGGTGACCACGATCGGTCCAGTGAGTCCACCTTGGACAACGACCAACCTCGCCTTTGCCCTACCCAATACAGCTTGCAGCGGTTGGCAGGAGACGATATCTGTAGGTGTAGTTGTGGTAGGTGTAGTGGTGGTGGTGATTTTTGGATCATGTTAGAATTGATCCTTAATGCTTCTTTGACTCATGCCATTGTGTCTTTATGTCAACATGATTTTCTAGCACAAGATGAAACTCGAACTACTTTCTAGTACGAAAACAAAACTAGACAGATTTTTAGCATTTAATATAATGGAGTAAATAGCAGGCATACCTGCCGCCATATTGTTCGGTGACAAGCAGTCGCCTGCTGTGAAATTCACCGATGGCGGCGCAATAAGTTGCATTTCCACAGGCGATGTTCCGACAGGATCGATCTCAAATTTGACTTCGATCCGCGCTCGTGGTGAACGACGTTCAGCTGTGGAGAAGCGGTTTTGTGAGTGTGAAAGGATAATAACACAGTGCTGTCTAGTAAGTTAGTTATTTTTTGAGAGGAGAATTAATTTTATGAGAGGATACTTGTCCATGATCTACTAGCAGCTGTCATCGTGAGAAATTATGAGCCCCTTCATGGTCGTGCTAAATCACTGAAGAGATCCATGCTTGTCACCTATTCACCATATTTTCCGTTCCATCCTCGGACGATGTATTTATACCAGTTCCATCGGAAGATGAAAGTATTAATACCAGTCACTCTTAGGCCATACGGCGACACAATATTCGGTCTCAGCTGTCCTTGCTGTCCATCGTTGGTGTTTGTAGGCAAGGCTCCACCATCAAAAGTCTTGAAAGTCCACGTCTCTCCCATCTGGAATGGCGCGACTAAGGCTACCGTGATCTGTTGTAGTTTGCAAAATGTAACAAGGTATGGAGAATTACTTTTTCAGTACCTTTGAAGATGTTTCTTTTACTTTTTCAGTACCTTTGAAGATGTTTCTTTTACTTTTTCAGTACCTTTGAAGATGTTTCTTTTACTTTTTCAGTACCTTTGAAGATGTTTCTTTTACTTTTTCAGTACCTTTGAAGATGTTTCTTTTACTTTTTCAGTACCTTTGAAGATGTTTCTTTTTTCAGGTGGCCATGCTAGGTAGTGACCGGTACAAGTTCGAAATTCACTAGTACCGAGTAGTAGATCATCGACTGCAGTCCTCCTTGCGCTGCGCAACCGTCTGGACAAATCACTGCCGTGAGGCTTCCTGCACTGACTTGCGACACTTGCGCAGGCACTTCATGTGTCGGATCTAAAGACCTGAACCATGGCGCTTCCTCTTTGTTGTACCGCGTAATCTTGAAGTTTCGCAGTTCCGTTTTGTACGGTGCACCGTTGATGTATAACGTGTGTCCGGGAAGGACGGCAGTGCTGAATCGCATGTGGAAGTCCGCGTAACAGAGAGACCCCATCTGCACGAAGAAGCCACTCTTAATGGGGTAGTTGTCCGAGACGCGTTCGTACTCAGAGTAGATCCGAGGATCGCGCGGCTTGTCGATGAAACCGGGTAAGCGGAACCCATTACGGAACTTCAAGGCCTCATCCATTGCCTTGATACTCCCAGTCCCTCCGAACGTGGTGATGTCAAAGTCCGTCTGACCACCTAGGTTTGCTAGCTTGACCATGGAAATGACCAGTCGGATCCTTGCGGTAGCCGCAATCGGCACTTGAATGTTGATGCTGGCACCAGTCGGCGGGTTCAGGGGATCCACGATGGCGCCTTCGGAAGGATTAGACGAAACTTTGTTACGAAAAAATGAAAAGCTAGCCTCTACTTACTACTCAGCGGTCACTCCTCCGCATTGACTTCCTCCCTGCATTACTCCAATCTAATCCTCCCTGAACAAACTTACTAACTACAACTGTCACCATCAATCTCTCATCTACACAACGAGCGACGGACCCACTTCATAAGGTTCAGCGTCAAAGGCAATGCAGCCGAGTTGAACATGAAACCAAATGGCTCGTTCGCCACTATCCTGAGTTCGTTTGCGTCGCTGACTGCTGTAAATTCCACAGTGATCTCACTATACGCTTTAGCAGCTTGCATAGTGCCAGTGAGCTCAATCTTGACGTTTTCGAGCTGAGGCAAAATATCCCAAGACCGAATCACCTCGGAGGAACGGATCTGAGCTGTAGGCTGGAGCTCTAGAATCTTGTCCCACTCGTACAGGCCAACTGTGTCCGCGGTGCCTGTGATATAGGTTCTTGGGTAGTTAGGTGACTACATGTATTACAGGACAGATTTCCTTAATGATCACAGGTTTTTTCATGATCTTCATGTATGAAACTCGTTGGCTTTCCTCCAGGTCGTGACATTCACGCTCCAGTGACTCGGCTGATCAGAACTAAGTCATGTCAAATGTGTACATCTCTAGTGCTGACTATTCGTCATCACCCTAAAAAAAGCATGCAATAAATGAAGTACCGAGCAGCGTATCCATGAAGCAATTCCAGAGTGCTCCAGGTTGGACGCATAGAGGAGTGATAACGGACTTATCAATGCCTCGCCAGTGGGTGACTTTAAAGAAGTTCTCGAAAACGAAAGGCGTCGTAGCGGGATTGCTCGTATCAACTGACAACTGGAAAATCTCTTCGTCGTCCTTCTGTTTTTGCGTTTTTGCGTTATTGCGTAGAGAGGGGGATTAAGAAGTTGAAGGTGTCGAAGGATTCATCTCGTTGAACGCGATACACGACGATTTGTTGGGAATGTCCTCAGGGGTACATACTTATTACCACAATAAAATCCACCATATTCCTTACAACAAAGTAGTATGTTACAGCCATTTATTACAACAAAGTAGTATGTTAGCCATATTCCAACAAAGTATGTTAGTACAGTGACTCCCGCTTGAATTTCGAACATCATCAAGTTTCTTGTGCATCTTGGCGCCGTTTTTGGGTCCGCATTCATGTCTCCAAAGTTGTTCTGTGGTGGCAATTGCTGTGCTATGATCTCCTCCTCTGTCGGCAGCCACTTGAACGCGGAGCATTGCTTCCTCGCTGGTTCTGCAAATCTAGATTGCAAAACAAACCCAGTCGGCGCTTCCAGTACCAAAAAGTCTCCAGGCAAAATCTGGTCCGGAAAAGCGAAAGTGAACGTCAAATCTCGCACTTCCATCATACCATTGCGCACTTGGACGCCGTTCACGTCTTGGTTCACGACTAGAGGCACGACTTGAGGGGGAGAACCACGGCGGACTTCAGAAGTGACCATGTTCACCATGAAAGATTCGACATCGGATTCATCGAGGGCAGAGCTAGGATCCGCAGTTTCACTGGAGAAAGACTCTAGCTTCCAGCTGTACTTGTGGCCGACGACAGATTAGCAGATTCGAAGTCTGTGAAAATGAGTCCAAGTCTGTGAAAATGTTGAGTTTATATTGTAGGACCTCCTGCGTGACTCTTAATTGTAGTAGAAAATACGACCTTGATGAATATGCGTTCTTCGATTTTTTTCAGAGCCTACAAACGCGGCAAGTATGGAAATCCACTATTTCTTCTATGCATTACAAGTACAACCACTTCAAAGCAATAAAACATTCATCCTTTCCATAACGTTCTTGCAATGGATTGTTCACTTCGATGATCACTCGATAGTTCCTTCCGGTTTCCATGGTTGCTCCGATCAGCCTTAGGTGCGTCACTTTGTCATCTGTTTCCGACACACGACAACTTGTCTCGGACTCTCCCCACCTACGACCCTTGTTCAAACGTCCCTTTTCATCGACCCAATCTTCTGCTTGCACTTGAGCTGTGCACTCGAAGTTGGCGGCTACGAAGCGGAAGTTCTGCGTAGTAAGTGGCTGTGCCTTGGCTGTAACGCGGAGAACGCCGTTAATGGGAATGGTGTTCCAAGGTCGGAAAGTGAAACGAACGGGATTGGCGACTGGAATGCTATCGGTTGCCGCTTGGCGGCGAGCAGTGGAAACTGGCTTCACTTCGAGACTGTTTGTGGGAAGAGACGAGGAAGATCAAGATTGTCGTTTCAAAAAACAAGTGGTTGTCGTGGTATCATGCTTACTCACTCGGTAATAAAAAGACACTCTCAAATTAAACGTCTCCTGTCAAACTCTCAAACACTAGCACCAACTAAACGTCTGTCAAACTCTCAAACACTAGCACCATTTGTCATTACCAAGGTAAAATTCAAACTAGTACTTCGTGAACGTCCACAACGTGAATCCGGGAAAGGCCATTGAGGATTCATCACTCACATCAATCGTCCATGTATTCGGAGACGGTGTTCGCTTCGGATTGCTCAAGACGCCAATTCTAAACGCGTAAACGTCGTTCGCAACCAGATATGGCGAATGCTTGTTCAGTTGACTCAAGGTTCTAGTCTTCTTCCCTCCATGGTCCTCTTTCTCCTCTTCGTCTTCGTCCAATGCTCTTGGTTCGTAGGGGATGACTTGAGGCATGAAGGATTTGTCTAGTTCTGCTTTTTTGGTGTCCTCTTTAACTGTATTAATGCCCTCAACAGCCATGTCTTCGAGAGAGCGACGCCCTTCTGGTCCCTCAACTTGCAATTCAGCTTGAGGGCCTGGACCGCCAGTGCACTTTGTTACTTTCACCTGGTTGGTGTGAGTAGCGACAGGAGGTGAGGACGTGGTAATCAGTTCCGATTTCTTCGTAGACCACTGTATCTAGTAGATATTAATTGAGAGTTGTAAGCCCAGATGTCAATGATCATGTTCTCTTCTTGTTGATGATGAAGACCTTCTCTGCACCTGCCAATTGCTGTTCGTAGATTGAATCTAGTAGATTGTACTATCTACCTCGTATGAATCTACATTAAGTGAATCACACTCAAAATATCGAGATCAACTTATTTCAGCCTAAGAAAAATCAAAAAGCTGCATACCTTATATGGCCAAACGGCGTAGGTTGGCGGCCATTTGTTTCCTGCGCCAAACACCTTGTCTTCGTCGACAACTACTGTTGACAAGCAGTCATCTGAAAAGATAAACCCCTTAGGGCCACGCAGTTTCAGAGTCATGCACCTTGTGTTAGAGCTTCCCCATTTGGAAGAGCTTCTTAGGAAGCATCTTAGGAAGCATACATGTCGTCCCTTTAAAAAAAGCTACCAAGAAGATGCTTCGGGGGCAGATGGATATAATGGGAAGCCTTAATTGTATACCCTGGCTCGATATTCGTGCATCTGCTCTCTGTCGCATCGTTCTTCATCTTGAACACGTAAATCAAGTTATTCCTTTTCAGCGGTCGATCGTTTCGGTCCGTAGCTACGCGCTGTGCCGTAGTCGTCGCAACTAAGGCTGCTTCGGTTAATTTGGTGTTGATACTGAAGCCACCGGCTGCGATGGGGGTGTCGATATAGTTCGCAGTGGATCGAGGGGCCACCATCGTACTGTAAGTAGCGAAATCCCAGCACTGAGTGAAACCACAACTGCTACTGGCAGACACTTCTTGGACGATGGGGACCGTCGGATTGATGAAGAGAATAGAGAATGCGTAGCGCGCAGCAGGCATGCCCATAAGACCAGCTGTGATCTCGAGGACGGGCTTGATCACCTGACGATTGTGGAAAAGAAGGAGATTTTAAAGGAGAAAACATGAAAGTTTGAGTTTTACAAGACAGAGGGGAAAAGAGATTTTCATCCTACGGTCGTGGGGAGCCTTTGTGTATCCTCAAGAAATGCTACAAAAATTACTTCTACTTCTATCAAGGAACATAAACCAAATCAAGCGAACTAAAAATCTAGTACAGTTCCTCCACTTCCCGCCACACTTGTTGTCGACTCTGTAATTGTCACGTCCGTAGGCAATGACACGTAGTTCTCCTTTGTCGATTCAATCACCGTCTTGTGCATCACCTGGAATCCCTGTGGTCCAATGATCTCCAGACCGCCACCTTGCGGAATCAACGTTTTCGTTTCGACTTCGAAAGTTAAGATACTCTCTTTCCCTGCCACGTTGGTGCTGTAATCCACCACAGCATTGACCAAGCTGGACACGCCGACGAAGGAGACGACACCAGCAAACGGTCGCTGCGCAGTGCTCGCACCGTCATAGCCAAACTCGATGAAGAAGAAGGCAGGCGACATCGTCGGACCATACTTGGGTACTTGCGCATTACAAATGAAACCGTATAGCTCGGTTCCGGCAGCGCTGAAGGTCCAGGTTCCGGCAGTCTCGAACTGCGGAGATTAGCAGTATGGATCATGTTGTTGAAAAGTAGCTTCTACTGTTGAACACATGAACTACTTGGGACATCTCGTGCCTCGGATCTATTCCACCAGTTGCCTAAGATTTCCCTGGTGACTACTTATGACTACGTCTACTTTTTTAATCAAAATTAAGCGAATCATAAAGCACATGAGGCGCATCCGCTAACACCACAGGGGAGCCGCCACCTGGCCAATCTGTTGCGATTCCGGTAGGCCCCAACTCTGCTGCTGTCGAAGCTGCTTGCTTGTATCCAAACCGGGTCGTTGGTTCCCAAGCAAAACCTGCTGGAGCGCTGATGCGCACTTTGACACCGGTCATGGACGCATAGAATTTCGTCATCGTGAAATGAATCTCCACTGTTCCTTCTTTGTACACGCCTTCAACCACTGGCGGTCCAACGATTTTCGGCACGATGCTAATCCTTGGTCCGGTCTTTCCCAAAGGCATGTTGGCAATGTCGTCTTCATATAGGCCGTAGCTGACATTGTGCAATCCAGTCGAAAACGGGACGTTTTGCTTTGTGCCGTCAATCCTTTGCTTGGCGAAGTCCAGAGTGAAGAGCTTCCACTCCTGCTGCAGCACTGGGTCATAGACGTAGGGTGCAATCGCCGTGATCTTGAACCCGTATTTCACTCCACCCTGGATGATGCCGTTAGCACCGACAAGGGCGCGGTTGTACGGGACTGGATCGTAGACGCATTCCCTCACTCCACCGGGTAGGAAATTTGTAGCCACATGGTTCTCGGAAGCGGCAAGCCTGCTGTAGTAGACGTGAGGCAGCTCTTCGGCAACGCAGGGGTCTGGGAAGACGTAGCCACTACGCTGCATCACATCGGTGGGCACAGGATCTTGGTTCTTCGGAGCTTCGATGGCGACGTAACTGTGATTCTTGAGACGTTTTGTGGGAGATGTTCGTTGAAGACCAAGATCTTGCTTCTGCTTCACGTTATAGAAAAGTTTTACCCTTAAAACTCACAAATAGAAGATAAGCTCATCCTCATCCGCAGCAAAAAAATCCGTAATTATACCCCATATATCCTGCACTCTGTTCCGTCTTAAAGAACACATACAACTCGTGGTGCACCGGACCTCGTAATGGATTCGTTGCGCCAATAAACATTGCTGGGGAAATCACTGCTTCGGTTAAGAATCCTAAGACAGCAACATTCGCCGAAAAGTTCGACTCCAGAGCCTTGAATCTCATGGGTTGAGTGTGGAGTAGAGTCGTGAATTCGCCTTTGCCTGTGATGGTAAGCTTCCACTCGTTCAACGTGTCGTTCTTCTGCATCGCAGTAGGCGGGTTGTCGACAAGGAACTTGATCATCAAGGCAGAACCACGGTACAAAATGCCGTATTGCTCCATCAGGGATTAGTGTGTGTGATCCAGTTGTGTGTGTGTGTGTGTGTGTGATCCAGTGACTATTCTCGTAAATGTTGTTGCAAGGGATAAGTCTAATAGAGTCGAGGTGAAAACTAACCGGTTGTATTCTCTCAAATGGACTATTCTCGTAAATGTTGTAAATCTAAATTCAAGTATTAAATATTGCATGAAGAGAATATCACCGTGTGCATGAAGAGAATTCACTATGCCGAAATATTCCTCTCCTTCAGTATTGGTCCATCCCGGATTAGAAGTGCAACCTAATAAAAGAGGGAAAAGCGAACCCTGTTCTATACTCTTCTACTTCACTATGCAGAAATATTCCTCTCCTTCACTAGGCAGCCTCTCCTTCACTATGCAGTATTAAATATTGCATGAAGAGTTGTTGTTGTACCTTCTAAGGTTGCGAGTTTTTTGTGGAATTTGTTGAGGAAAATGAAGTTAGGTCATGGTATTAAATAAAATTTCTATCTTCTACTTCACTATGCAGAAATATTCCTCTCCTTCGCTATGCAGCCATAATTGTAGACGCAAGTGCTTGGATCTCCAGCAGCGTTTTCCCAACCATGACTGTTCATTGGCGATGAACTGTCGAAACTCGGCAAAACCTGCAGTGTATCTGGCGTACCTCGTCCTTGAGGTAGCAGGTGCTTGATCAAGTTCAAGCTCGACTCCGCTGCCCATGGATGGTAGCTGGTTGCTGGCAAATAGCTGATTTGCCCTGTTTCGTCTAATCCGAGTTGGTTGGGGATTTTGCACCTGTACCCTTGTGGGAAGTTCACCGTGATGTATGCAGACGCTAATTCGCCAGCTGCATGCAGGTTGGCCGCAAAAGATGTGATGCCCAAAACAAGTTTCACGTAGAGCACGTTGTCCGTGTCACCTTTGAACGGTGCCTGATTACCATCGCCGAAAACGTCGACGATTTTCGCGATGTTCTGACCCGCATCCGGTTCCTTCCAGAAGTAGTTGCCGCTGGTTCTGATGTAATTCGGCTTCATATCGTCTGCGGTGGTCACTTGGCAGCCAGCTCTGGTCGGAAAGAAACCCTTGTTCGGAATGGTCACACCTGCAACTTCGAAGGTCTGCGTGATTTGGCCCGCAAACTGGGCTGCCTTCGGCATGATGGTCATTTCGGAGGGCAACGTCAGTTTGATGATGTTGTTGCTGCTAGCAGGCTGCTTGATCAAGTCGACATCGTTCTGGCCTTCAAATTGCGCGACCACGGGTTCGCCGACGCACTTGTTACTGGTACTGGTGTAGCGGCAAACAACGTTGTCAGCGCCAGGGTTTGCGCAGCGGACGGAGCCTGGAGGTTTTTTTGATGGTACTTTTGGGAAGGAAGACGCTACTACTGAAACAACCAAGGCCCACCATTTTGAAATACTCAAAGTAAGTACATCACTTTGAAGCACTTAAGGGAGGGCATTTTGAGGCGCTTAAGGGGCACGCCTCTGAGGCACTTAAGGGAGGGCATTTTGAGGCGCTTAAGGGGCACGCCTCTGAGGCACTTAAGGGAAGCATTTTGAGGCGCTAAAGGGGCACGCCTCTGAGGCACTTAAGGGGGGCATTTTGAGGCGCTTAGGGGACACGCCTCCGAGGCACTTAAGGAGGAGCATTTTGAGGCGCTTAAGGGGCACGCCTCTGAGGCAATTTAGACAGAGCGGCTTGTTGCGGTTAAGCGTGTTGAGGTAATCATGTTGTTCTTGTTGCGGTCAAAAATATCTTACACAAGAACATAACAAAACGGTGTACAAATGCAATACAGCTATCTCCCGTCTTCCACACGGTGATCGGCTGCAAATAAATTCGCACGATGTAGCTCGGCTTAATCGGATAGGTTGGCTGTGCCGCAAACCGGAACATCAACTTGTCTGCCTGTGAGAGCTGTCGCAAATATTGATTTCCGCCAAGCAGCTCGCAACCAATGGGTTCAGCAAAACGTGGCGTCGACTCATCCGTAGCGGTGTCACGCTTGACTGGTTGTCGGTTCAACTTCGCGATGCCGCGCTCAATGGCTTTGTAAGGATTGATCGAAACATCGTCCATCGTGAAGATTTCGGAGATTAGAGGTGTCTAGGTCTACAAACTTCGTGTCCACCTAAGGAGCTACATGATCAGTCATAAGGAGCTACATGCACATGATCATGTGTAAATCAAAAATTCCATCAAATCCACATCCATAACAAATATTCCCCTCCCTTCTGCGCAGCGTAGGTGTCAGTGCACGCGCCAGCAGCCTGGGACTCGTCGCATCGCAGCTCACCATTCATCACAAGCATATAATCCGTTGCGGGGCGAAGACCGTTCTTGGCGTCGAAATAGATAAACAATTCACGCGTGCTCCTCGTTCCGGAAATCGCGTACCGCTTGTAATAGCAACCCTGTTTTTTGTTTAGTGAATAGTTAGAAAGAGGTCACTTACCAAAGCAAGCGAGATTAGAAGAAAACAAATTTTACAATCATACTGCATCTATCATCATCACCATCATCATTATCTCGAAGGGTCACCCTCTACCTTCGGCAAGACAAAACAGTTCCTGATGTGATCCCGAAGGGTAGTAAGAGGAAGCGCACAGCCTATTAAGGGGACAGAAATCAGTTGCAGGCCGTTCTCCCGAAGGAGTGGACAACACTACCAACACTACGACACCACTCGAATAGAATGATCGAGGTGAATCACCTTCGGCATCGGGAATCCGTTTTCCACGTCGTTGCTCCACAACTCGATGAACAACTTTCCACACACTGCCTGTGTCGCTTCGTGCATATCGTCTTCTAGCGCATTGTCCGCAATAGGACTGGCGTCAAAGTCACTTTGATAGACTTCGAACTTCGTGTTGTCCTGGAACAAAAATCGTATCTGCGTCGGTCCTTGCGCCTGTGTGTACATCTTCCCGGTCATAGATCCCGCGGTCTTGAAACTGATGAGGACAGGGGCTTTGACGTTGTAGAGTTTGGTGGTCATTTGCACTGCGGCGACGCCCATAGGGTCAGAGGCTTTGAGGGTCAATTTGCCGACTTCGGTGACGTATTTTCCAACGTTGGAACCGTAGTGCCAGCAGACCTTGGAGTTTAGGAAGAATTTTGTTAGTTAGATGGTGAAACAACAGGAAGAAATCTGAGTCACAATACGAAATGGAAAATTGTGCAGTCAAAATGTGATGCGCTCGGACGCAAATGTCAAACCAACTTAATCCTCCAAAACTTAAATAAGTACCTTCATATTCTGCAATTCCCGTTCACCCTTAATCTCCCACTTGGTCAAGGCTTTGTTGACCCGCTTCCATTTTCCGAAGTTTACGCCGTTTTTGGTGTTGAAAATCGGTCTTCCGGTCGCTGTGTGTGGTGGGATAGTCTCCCCTACTAAGACAATAAAACCTATGCGTCCTACATTTCTTCATGTTTCAAATCTTCTGCTACAACTTCTAGCCACGACACTCATAATGAAGGTCGCGGCCAGGAGCACTCTTATGCCATGTATGAAGAGGAGCTAAAGCCCAAAAAATCTGCATTTTCATAACATGAGCAAAAAGCAAGAGTATACTGTTGGAAGGGCTACACGCTAGAGGTAAAAACGAACCGGTTGTTTTATTTAGTGCTTTGATCAAAAAACAAGAATTTTTTAGAATCATAGATACATGCTCCGGCTCCGCACGGATTCGGATAGCAGATTTTGGGGAAACCGAGAGGAATTCGAAAATACTTCGGGTCGTTGTTCGGATCTGGAGTAACTTTATGCGCCACAATGTACTCATCCGTCGCCCGATCGTCATTTGTAGTGTAGTCAGCATAGTTGTAACTGCCCTTGAGAAGGGCCAGTTTTTCGGGAGTGCATCTGCGAGGATTCCGATTTGGGAGGGGAGGGATAAATGTAGTTGTTGTTTCATGAAGTAGTACAATTTCCGATGTCTACGTTGATCATACACGTGATACAAAAATCAATCTACCCGCCAAAGGAAAAACCAAAAATCACAACAAGGTAAGCCCTAGTACTGGTAGCTCTGTGGATGACATTCGATGTTGTCTCCAAGAACAATCTGGTCTCCTGCGGTAAGCCCCGGTGCCTCTTGAAACTCAATCTGCGTCTCCGTATCCGAAAGCACTGTGATCGACTTAATTTCGTTAGTGCGGCAGTTCTGGAAATGCGGATCGCATCTGTGGTTGTCGATGGTGGTGGTTGTCGATGGTGGTGGTTGTCGATGGTGGTGGTTGTCAATGGTGGTGGTTGTCAATGGTGGTGGTTGTCAATGGTGGTGGTGGTGGTGGTGTTGTCGATGGTGGTGGTTGTCAATGGTGGTGGTGGTGGTTGAATTCTAGTCCGAGAGTAGTACAAGTATGCTCTAGTAGTTACGTAGTATTACATGCCTCCAAAATCATCAAAACCTCCGCAAACAACAACAAAATTTGTTCCCAAAAAACATAAAAGTTCTCCTTAATACGCGAACTTTTCCGAGCTCAAAACTTGGGTGACTAAATCGCCGTTCACTGCGCTGTTGACGTCACCCACTTGCGTGCACCCAGTTGGGCAACCTAGGTACAGGTACGTGTACGCATACGACCCTCGGTCTGGATTGCCACCGTTGTCAGTGCAAGATCCGTCGGGATGGATGATCCTTAGCAAGTTCTCGTTCGCTAAGCCGAATCCCGTGTACTCCATCGAGAACACGACGAATGTGGAGAATTCCCAACTTTCGCCGCCCACCGGTCCTTTGATCGTGGTTCTACCTGCCAAGACCCAATAGAGCCCATTGTCGTTGCAACCCGTTGTCGCTGCCCACTGACAGTAGCAAATCGCCACGATGCCTGCTTTTTTGATCTGGACCGTATTTGTCAAACTTCCCGTGTTGAAGATCATCTTGTTTTTGTCGGCCGCAACACCACCAGTCGTTCGCGTTCCTCGATAAGCGCTCACTGCGTTGCCCTCGCTGTTCAAACCCGACTGGATCAACTGCGAATCGTACACTGTACTCCTGCACAACGCATCGGTCATGGTTTTGTCGTTGTCTGGTACGATCTTCAAGATGCCCATCTCCGTCAGGCCCATCACGTCGTAGTCATCGACCTCACGCCGAAACCCTACAATACCACCTTCCTCGATGAACTGCACCGCCCATGCCGATGGCGTCGTTGCCGCTTCATAAGCCACCGAGACCAGGCGATACCCAGCAAACCGCAACTGACCAACTTTGAACCAGTTCTTTCCGTCTGCCGGCAGCAAACTGTCGCAGTTGGAATCGCAGTAGCAGACGTCGAACATGACCTGGTCATGCTTCTGCACACGTTCGTAGAAGGCTGAGTCGTAGTTGAACATAAACCCCTGAGGGTAAATCGTCGTGACGTCGCCGGTTAAAGACGGAAAATCTTTGATTTCGCTATCGGAACCTCCGCTCATCGTGCTGATATCGGAAGGATCGGTCAGAATGACCTTCCCAGCAGGTGCTCCAGCGACTGGGGGAACGGTGACGCCGTGTGCTGGGCGGGGCTTAGAGGAGAATCAATATCAGGTGACAGAAGTACTAGAAAGGGAAAAGTGATACTAATGTATAAATTTACTTTCGAGTACTTGCTTAGTACCTAGAATGAACTCAGATATTTTCATCGGCACAAAATCATAACAGTCCGTCTACACCGGTTATTCGTATCCCATGCAGATTTGTCCGTTTCGATATCAACGGCTGGATCTTGAGGTTGCATTACGATTTTCACCCGGTTCGTACTGGTAGCCGCACAGGCATACTTCGGACATTGAACGCGCACCTTGAAAAACACCGATGGAGCGACACCAGAGTAGTCGGGATCGCAAGAGGCGTCATTCGCACGACAAATTTTACTCAGGTAGAAATTAACGATACCGATTTGTTGGCGGTACCTGAGTCGTGGTTTGGAGAATTTTTTTCTCGGAGAAAAGTTTCTTGCTAGTATGGTGCTTTCTTGCTATCGTCGAAGAAAAAATGACTCCTGAAATTGAATCAAACGCAAGCAAAAAAATCTACCTGCTAAACGTTCCCAACACAGTTGGTTTTGTGCAGCCTGAGCCGAAACTGCACCAGCAAAGCCCCACAGTGAAGGGCACAAAGGTCGGACCCGCTAAATTGTTCTTCGTTGCGGGAAGGTTGAAGTTGACTGAAGACGCACCAATAAGCTTCGAAGCGTACTCACCTGCGCTGCAATCCATACCGTACTTACACAGTTTCGTAGAAGGCGTCGAAGTTCCACAGGCTGAAGCGGAGGCAGCTTGTTCCAAGGTGGTCGTTGATGAGGGATACGAAGGGAATTAGAGAAGGGTATTGCAAAAGCTGGTGTTCTTACCGCCAATGACATCGACATCTACAACACTGGGAAATAATTCTACCAGTAAAAAACCAACTCCCAGGAAACTAAGTAGTTTCTTTTGCCAACAAAAAATCTCCAAATTCCAACTCCATAATATTCCGCTGACCAACTGGCTGGGTAGAAGTTACTGGTCCCAGGTGGCTGTGTGTAGTCGCCCTCGTATCCGTATTGGTTTGTCACTGCATTCGGAAAAAAAGCTGCACCAATAGTGTTCGTCTTGCCGATGAACCTGATTATTGCTTACGGAGGTGTTTTGAATCTTCATAACTTGTCGTGCATACCCAGCATACTACATCAGCACATAAGACTATTCATCATAACATTTAAGTCATTCTTGAACACAGAAAATCAACAGAAAAGTAGCATGATGATGGAGTAGAGTACTGTCCTTCCGTGGAAACTACATCCGTAGTGTCCGAACCGATGATGCAGTTCGTCGGGTATTTGTTCACCGTTCCAAACGTGATGTACCGGTTGGCTGCGTTGTTGTACTGATTCTTCAGAATGAAGCAGTTGTACGCGTTCTGCACGTCCAGCATACAGGTTGAAGTCGGCTGTCCGGTGCAAAATCCCGTATCGAAGTACCCGTTCACGTGAATCATACCACGCCACAGCTCCGCGTTGTCCCAAGACGTTCCGTCTACAGACCAACAAAGTTGGAAAACACCACCCTGCTTGAATGTTAACCTGTTTTTATTTCATGTAGTTGTAGTAGCAGTTTGAATAATTCACATGGTGCGCACGAAACAAATGCAATGTACGCTTGGTCAGCTTGGAATTGATTGATTAATTGATTGAATAAGAAATGCAATACTCCTACGTCTAGGACTCGTGTTGTGCTTTTCTTCTACTTAACACAGTAAAGACAACAAAAACTTATTATATCTTGATAATACGCATGCCCCGGATTCACTGACAATGCTGTATCAGTGGCAATAGCAGGTGGATTTCCATCTAGTTTATCCATTTCCGTCGTCGAGGTCCGTATAAAGCCGCCTAAGCCTCCTCCAGCGCACCACAGAGTAGGCAAGACGTCGCACTCAAGCACCGTCGCCGCGCCGTCTTTACACGCTGTCGCTACTGTCATGCCCGTTGTTGGAGTCACTGAGTGCTTCACGAATCGGATTTTCATAGCAGTACTGCCCAAAGCCCAGTCGTCTCCAGTATTCGTGATCTTCAATACGGGTTAGAGATGAGCAGGCAGTGTTGCACAAACCTCTGAAGTCAAGAACTGCGTAGCCTCTGAGTATCAATCGACAATCAGTATAATTAGTAGTACAAGATCGCCTAAGTTGACAATCAGTAAAATTAGTAGTACAAGATAGCCCAAGTACAACTAATATTATATATAATGATATCACTGATCATGTTGCAGCTCAAACATTAGCGTTTGTGACAAACACCACTGAAGTCGAGATGTTAATGTTTAATGTTTTTCTGCATCAATATTCTAGAACAAGTTTTTAAACATTTGCATGGTCCATAATTAATCCCTGTTATCAACGCCCCTGCGAAGAGCCACGCGTTGAGTCCTGTATTCGTGGGCACAATTGAAGTCGAAGCTCCTCCATTGGCGTCGATGTAGGTGTACGTCGCCTCACCCCAGTTGTTCGTTGAGGGCAGTGTAGTGGCGCCTCCTCCAGCACCGTACGTGACTAACCTCCTAAGCCTTTTCTCCATGAAGGGTTCGAATAACTTCCGCAGCTTCGAGTAGTACAAAGAAGAAAAACTAGAAGAAGTACCAGCGAATAAACTAGAGGTTGATGCAGAGGCTGATGTATCAACAGGAGCATCGTTTTCCTTACTAGATGTACTAGCATCTTTACTAGTACTAGTGGCTTCTTTTTCTAACCTCCTCTTTGCTCGTTCTAAGTCGTCCACAGGGGAAGTATTGGTTTTACTTGTTGATGACGTTCCTTTTTTCGGTGTGAAATTTCTAGTCCCCGCTTCACCAGCACCAGTTGCTTCGCCATACTGATCTATCATCTCCGCGCTTGTTGCACTAGTGGCGTCGAGGTAGCTTCTATCACGGTGATAGAGCTTACCTTCAAGTATCCGCGTGGAGGTCTTAGTGTCGCTCTTGCCTCCTGAGGCTTCCTGCTTTCCGTTTTTTGAAGAGCCATCTAAGGAAATTTGCAGATTCAACTGCTGTGTACCCGGATCGAAAGCGACGTCCTCTACTGTCGCTGTCCTCGCTTGTCTTTTCTCCTTCCGCTCTTCTCCCGCTAAGGCTGTACTAAAAAAGTCGGAATGTAGTTGTAGCAAAGTAGAGGTCACGAAAGTAGTCGTAGCTAAAAAGTTTCTCATACTCCTCGTTTTTCCGCTTTTTGGCTTACCACTACTTGTTCGTGAAGGACACCATCTATGCAACTTTTGCTTGTTCCCGTATGTTTTGCTAAGAGTTGTGGAAAAACTACTGGAAGATCCCGACTTTCCTGACAAGGATGGTGGAGGGTCATGGCGGCTACTTCCGTGGGAAACATGAAGGGCTTGCACTCCGTCTGGGATGGGAGAACTGCATGTCGTGCTACTATGAAGAACTGCACTAGTTGTTCTGGCATATATTCTTGTCCTGGACGTCGTTCTTCGATTTCGGCTACTCCAAAACCCTAAACGACAAGGTGACTCCTCGGCTGTTCTTTCAAACTTTTCAGGTTGTACTTGTAAGGACTCGGTAGTTGTAGCGCTACATCTTATTCCCATTTTGCCCGGATTCTTCCGCCAGCCAGGGTCTTCTCCTGCGTCAGGGGAAAATAACGAAAGTCTTGACATCCCCGATTCGGAAAACGATTTTTTTTTTTTTGTTGATCTACCAAAAAATGAGGCTCTTGTTCTTCTCGTTCTTTTACGAGTACGAGGACTGCTACTGCCACCTGATATTCTCCTCCTCTCATGTGATTTAGGATCACCTCCCCAACTAGGAGCTGACCTAGTGCTAGTACTGTCCTCCGCTCGCCTGGTCAACATAGAAGTTCCACTTACATCTTCTTTGGGTTTGATCACGTTGACACCTCTACCCAGTCCCTCACCTATTCTTCGCCAGCGATGTCGAGGACTATGTCGCATTTTCTTCCCGGTAGAAAAAGTTGTTTCCCGAGGATGACGCCGCGTCCTATCCTCTCTTGTATTTGTTCGTTCCCGAACATCCTCTATTCCGGGAGGAGTTGTTGATGCTTCTCTACTCCTACTTCTCCTTCTCCCTCCGGAGAAAGCCGAAGAGGCAGAACTGCCGCCGTGCTCCTCGTGGAGCCACCTCGGCCCCAAGCCCATCTAGGACATCAAATCCGCTTAGGAGGACATGAATTTTCAAACTTGTACTCCCAAATGTACAAGTGCTTAGTGATATGTACCTGTTATTCTAAATGTAGTCCGATCGTGATTACTTTGAAACTCCCCTTCTTTCTCATGCAAGTGCCTTTTGCATGCTAATTTAATGTTCATATTCCATTGGGTGAAGAGAGTTAAAATCGTAAAAGTGGGTGATCTGTCATCATGCAGCTGTAATCATGAATTCATTTACTACTTAGCAATAGATATTATTTAATAGGTAATGACATACTTTCATCGGTATTCACATACAACTTCAATATTTCTAAGAACATAGTGCAGTGACCCTGGACCTGGAGGGTTATGCGAAATAATACGGTCGGTTCGATTTTCTCTTTTGATGCCAATTTGCTGCTCTAACCGTACTTCACACGATTTTTTCATCACAGCCTCTCCCGCTCTCTCTCCTTCTCCCACTCATTTGCGTCCGTCACTGTCACTCCTCCCTCAACTCATCTCATTATCATCTCATGCAACACTCGATTAGCACCTTCTCGAGAACCAAAGCACGAAAACTTTTTTCCCTCTTTTCCCATCAAAAACATCTTCTTGATCAAAAAAAAGGCGACTTTCGTCAACAATCCGTACGACGAACAGTTTCGAACGATCTTGGGGTCGTTTTGCAAAAAATAGATACAGGAGATGGCGGATAGCGATTTCGTAAAAGAATTTTTACGACGAGCAGTTTCGAAAAACCAATGGTTACGAATAGCGATCTACAAGCACCGCAACGCCAAGACCATTCGCAACGAGAGCAACACTGCTTCGGACGACAAAAACGATTCGCCCAAGTTTGGATACTTTAATTATGCGAGTGGAAATTTGCAATTATTACGTCGCTATTCTAACAGTAGTTTCCACAGCATAGTGTCATTAATCTGGCAGCTGAGTGTCTGAGATTGAGGGGGTGCCTGTGTGAGAGTATCAGCACAAATAGGTGATCGGTGGTGTTTACCAAAAAATGGCCCTTCTTGTACTAATGAAAATACCAAGTGTTTGTGGTAAACATGCTGACTCTCATGGGAACAGAAAAAGTCTACAGAAGACCCCAGATGCCGAATGCGGCTTCCGCATCCTCGCGCCGAAGTTTGCGAAGCCTCATCAGCGTGCGCTCGCGTGAGATCTCGAATTCCGCCGGGGGCGAAGGGCCGCCAAGAGCCTTGGGAGGCGCTGCGCCCATCGTGTGCGAGATCCCTGGGGCTTCATTTCAGATACGCTTGGGGGCGGCCCGCTGCTTCTTCTTCGAAGGTAGGTGGCGGGCGGAGCGCGAAGCCCTATTAATCGAAGCCGCGCGGAAGAGGGCAGGCGACACCAGACGACCAGGCACGGAGGACGCGCAGAAGAAGCGCACGCATCCGCGGACCCCCGGGAAACCGTCGCCCGCGCCGATGGCGAGCAGGCAAGAGGCCCTGGAAGAAGATGCCATCGGCGCCGCCTCGCGATTCCCGCCGGGGGACACGAGGGGCGCCCGGCGTTGGAAGAGAGCACTGGCGCGCTGCGGAAGTAGCTGGCGAGCGTGGCGGGGCCGCGGGGGTAGGGGCTCTATTATCCGCTCCTGCGGCCTACAAGGAAAAGGTCCGGCGCTATTCTCTGGCGATTAGCGGACAGCCGCCCGGCAGGGCCGGCCACCGGGCTCTTTGGCGACTCGGTCGGAAGAAGCCGCAAAGGCCGCGGCATTTTTGGCCGTTGCAGCGCTGCCGGCACAAGCGTAGAGACAAACGGCGGCCCGTCCGTTAGGCTTGGAGCATTTGGCCCGGGGCCAAGCCTGCGGGCGCGGGTTCGTGGCCCTTTGCTCCGGGGCCGTTCGCTTTCCCGCTTCTCTGGGGGTCCTTCCTGCAAGGCCTTCAAAAGGCCGCGGCCTTCGGGGAGAGGCCGGGCCACGGCGGTCCGCGTAAGTCATCGACATATCGCGGACCGGCTGCCAAGCTCGGAGCACCAGGCCCGAAGCGAACCCCAGCCGACAGACGCAGGCTCGTGGCCCTTTTCCTCCAGGCCGTTTTTTCCCCGCTCTTCTGGGAGTTTTCCCCGCCGAGTCTTCACCAGCCGGGGCTTTCGGGACGGGGGAAAGCCAGGCGAAACCGGCCCGCGCAAGTGATAGACTTACTGCAGGCCAGCGGCCAGGCTGAGAGCTTCCGCCTGGAGCTAAGCCAATAGGCGCGGGGGCGCGGCTCTTTGCTCCAAGGCCGCTCTCTGCCCCGCTCTTCGGCGGCTTCTTCTCACGAAGTCCCAAAAAGTCCGGGCGCTTCGGGGAGAAGCCAGGCCACAACGTACCACGCAAGGCGCCGACCCATCGCGGACCAGCTCCCAGGCTTAGGGCCGCCGGCCTAAGGCCGGCGCCGCGGAGCCTCGTGGGCCTTCGGCGGGATCACCTTGCCGGTGGCGGTAGCCTAGTGGGGGCGCGGCGGCCTCCCACTCAGTTTCCTGATGTCCTTGTTGTGGGAGGGAATCGGAAGGGGACCGCGGGACCATCGCGGGCAGGCTTCGAACGCGCAGCCTAGTGACGCGCAGTTTCTCTGTACGCCGCTACACAGGGCGGCACTGCCCTGAAGGCCACAGCTTGAGGGGAATGGCGCGCAATGGGCCGCCAGCACGGACGGACACCGCCACAACGGCGGAGAAGCGCTGGCCAAAAGGCTGGAGATACAGAAACGCAACTGGAAATCCAAAAGCCAAGCAGAGAAGCGAGTAACTCAGTTGGCGCATGGTTTGGGTCACCCTCTATCCGGGCCTACGGGAAACTAATGGAAGAAAGTGCATAACTTTTTTTGCCATTAGTCTCCCACAAGATTGCGGGCCTCTTGCTTCTATTCAGCTTAAACAGCGAGAAAGCCCCGACTTTAGCGCCAGTCTTCAAGCCTTTGACTGAGTCCTTCCTTGCCATTGCTCGCCAGCAAATAGGGGCGCGCGGATCATAGCGAAAGGCCAGAGGCCTCTTCGCTCTTAGGTCTCATGAAGATGCAACGCTATTCCCTCTATAACGATAAGCGCAAAAAGCAGCGAGGGCGACTGGATGGCGTTGAAGCCTCTAGCGCGACTAGATTCGCCCGCCTCGCTGTGGCTTTTCGATTTTTGCCCGTTTTATATTTTTTCTTGGTTTGCTAGCACTTTCGTGAGATTCTGCGGGGTCTTGTCTTCATTTTGCGAAAAACTTAGCGTCTCCTCAAACTTATCCGGGTCCTTCTAGAAAGTGGAAAAAGTCAAGCGTTTGAAAAAAATCCTCTCGGAGAATCAAAGGAAGCCCAAGAGGTTTGAGGGAGACGATTTTCCCATAAAAGTACGAAGCTCCACCAGTTTCGGAGGTTTTCGGTTGACTCTGGGAGCTTTGCCACGTGTGCCACACAAAAAAAAAGCTGGCGACTTCTTAATTTTTTAGGTTCTGACGTTGCTCGGCGAAGAGAATCACCCCGCTCCTGTTTCGCGTCTCCTCGTTTTTATTTTCCTTCTGAAATCGGTGGCGCCAAAAGTGTAATGCTATCAATCCTTGCCCGGCGTTTAAAATTCTGGCCCTGCATAAGGAAAACCGCGCACAGCCCCCCAGGCTTTCCGAGGAGCTTGGAGAAGGCTCACCCATGAGCCCCGACCGGGCTGCCGCAAAAGTGTCGGGGCGACTCCAGAGGGGCCCGCGGTCCCGAAGGAGTCCCGCGCCCGTTCTGGTTTTCTCTCTGTTCTGGCGGGAGTTTGGAGCCGTCTCGAAGTGTCTCCAAAATGACAGACGGACACGCCCCAGATGGGTCAAATTTGGACAATTTCGACCCCTCCCCGGCGGGACCCTCAGCGGCTTCATTTCGTTGCGGGGAGAGACCATCCCCCCCCGATTAACGAAACCAAAACCGACCCCAGCCGCGTGTCGATTCTAGTCGCCAGAGCTCCCCGACCCCGGGCGGGCTCCTGGGCTTGAAGCAGTCTAGACCCCGCCGGAGCGTCCTGAAAGACAAAGACGGGCAGCGCACTGCACTCGCCTCAGCACCCACAGCCAGCCACCGCGCGGCGCCCTCGAATCTCGGGAGCGAACCAAGCTCGAAGAAGACCGAGGCGGACACACTGCGCACGCAGTGCAGCCCGCCACCAGCCACCGCAGCGCGCCCTCGA